GCTTCTGAGGAAGCAGAGAAATGATAGGGAAGAGTTTGTGCCATGGTGATATGAAAAGTATGAACGTAAAGAGCATGTGCAACAATGGGGAAAATCATGTAAAGAGAAGAAAGGATGGATGGATGAATAAAGTAACTTTTATTTTTAATCAGAGTACTCCTCTACTATTATAAATATAAAATGTCTACATTGGTATAAGGTAGGGTATTGGTCCTGATTATATGTTATCCTAAAGACTTAAGTTTGTTGATGGCTTGGGACTTTCAACTCTTTCTTCCAAGCTTTCCTCGTGAATTGTCCTAGTTCATCTCTATTCTATCTTTAATATTTCCTCATGTCACTCAATTTAAGTACAGCCAAACTGATGTAAATTGCTATATTAGCATTAAACCATGGTATACAGTGGTTCCTGATGCCTCATCTACTTTGTGCATTCACATTGTTTTTTCTAGTGATTTCTATGTGATATTTCATGTTACCTCRATTAAGAGGATTAAGAGTCAGTTAAGAGTTAAGATTACATAATAGTTCCTCAGTACTCCGTTCTCCTTCCAGACAAGAATTTAAAGTCAGTTTTTCTCTTTTAACCACTACTTTATGTTTTCCACCTTAACTGATAGTAAGGGATATGGTCCTGTTATGCCCCTTTTGGCTTCCCATTGCTACTTCTTGTCCATCTCACCTAAACCCATTTGTTTTCTGCAGGGATTTGATGGAATTGGAGCAAAAAGCCTGGGACTGACAAGTACCACTGCAGGCAAAGGGAATTAGGAGATTGAGGCACAGGATTAGGGAGGGAGACGGATTAAGTAAGAGACCCTTTTGAGTGAAAGAAAGTTTGCATGGTGAGCTAGGAGAAGAAGGGATGTGGTCTGATTGAATAAAATAGGGATTAAGAGCAGCAGGGAGATGTCCTGCAATAGAGCAGACCTGGGGCTCTCCTGGTGTAAACTGTTTGAGGAGGGGAGTTTAGGAAACCTGGGCTCCCTGGAAAGCCTGGGGAGGTAGGTACAAAGTTGGGGCCAGGTTATAGCGGGGAGGAGAGGTAATTAAAACTGGCCACACAGGAAGATTAGAGGCAGCTGGGCTTAATTAAATTTGCACAGGAAACTTTAATTGTGTGCTTTTTTTCTTTAATTTAATGAATACTAAATCTAGGGRGTTGTGTGCTGTCAGATTTATGTTTGGCATAAGTAAGTAATTAGAGGAGCACTTTCGTTTCAGTGTGGGTTATTTTGTCCGCTTTGCACTGAATAGGCAGCACAAAGTGGCTGTTAAAGTGTCTAGAGGGGGCTTATAAGGGAGCAGGATAATTTGGTAGCAGCAGAAAGGTTGCCTGTGTTGCTGTGCTCTGCCTTGTTTGCTGATCACAGCTTCAAGTGAAGGAAGAAGGTGATGGCAGGGGGTTGCTGGACAGGACGCCTGGGCAAGAGGCTCGAGGTGCGTATGTACCGGGAATGAATCTGGCTGGGAAAATGCATCTTTGCTTGTCTCTTTTGTGCGTGAGACACACTGGGATGTATTTCCTTTYGAAGAAGACGGTTACTGTGATGATATAGGGAAGGCTGGGTTGTTTGCGTCTTCAGTACAGTATTTTAAACTCAGTTTTATGACCAAGGAGGCCATTAACTATTACCTGGTTTGTCATGCTGTGCATACACACAAATTAATGTTCAATAATTTTTGCGTAAAGCTCATAACTTTGGTTTGGGCTCTGGCATGTCCTGAGTACGTTGCCTTGATGGAGAGCCTTGCATGAGGAGAGCTGCCCGCTGCCCTCAGCGGCAAAGGGAAGTGGTGACTCCACTTGACTTGGTGTGTCTTTGGTTGGTTTCCAGGTGTTGCATGGTGGTGGTTCTGGTTTGATACTTCACTGTTATTCAGGATTTCTTCTGCATATGGGAACTTTGTAGCYGGTAATTAGATGAATATATTGAACACTTTCTTGAATAAGTTTTCTTGAATAGGTTGATCATAGTGTTTCTACTACTAGGCATCATCTTCAGATTTATTGTTGCATCAATTCTGAGGCTTCCATTTGCTTTTGAGCTTTTGTGTCTTTCCCTTCCCAGTGACCTGCTCTGAGTGTTAGGAAACTTTAAGGAAAGTTGCACSTTAGATTTGTTGACTGACTTTAATGAGCTTTGCATTATACCTGTATGCAAGCACTGCCATCGCACTGCAATATTTTGGTGCCTACAGAAAACATATAAATATATATGTTCTTTTGTTCTGGGAAGATGAAAAAGCTATGGCTTTATGGCTTTCCAGTGGTAATCTTGAGGTTTGGCTAGGTTGCAYGTGAGTTTCTGAAAATCCCAGTACAGGAGGCATGGCACTAGCTAGGAGCATGGTATCTTGGTTCTCTGGTAGTTGATTTATAAATTTATCTCTTCCTACAAAACAGCAATCCCATACTACTATTCCTTATCTATTATGTGTATGGAAAGATTATATCTTGTGTATTAGCTGACAGTAGTTAATTCTGAAAGCAGTTACGTGACAGAAGGCAGATTTAATGTTTCAAATCTCTCAGATAATGCACATCCATCTGTTCTTTAGTGAATGTATCACCACTTTGCATATTGATGCTTTCTGATGAAACGCTGCTTGTAATTAAATTTTGATAAAGTGTTTTATGGCCTGTTGAAAGAAAATGCCGAGTTCTTTCTTGCAAGTGTGGAGTAAAACTGAAATCGTGTATGGCTGAAGATAGCTGTGTGAAGTCTTGATCACTGCCTGCAAAAATGCAGGAATATCTAAAAATACATAATAGTATAAAATTACTGTTAATTTCCTGGAATTTCATCTGGACATATTATTAATGGTAACAAATAGTGTTATTTTTACTACTTAAGCACTAGCCTGGGTCTAGTACTTATTACTTCAGTATTTCAGTGTGATCCTTTCATGTTAGTTGAAAGAATGTATTAACTTATAAATCAATGCAGTATTTACAACTTCTTTATAAAGTATATCCTGAGCAGATAATTGATGTGTGTATTTAAAATAGTGCTGCTGATGGTAAAAAATGCAACTAAAAGCTTCAGATACAACTCCTGAAGCTTAAATTTCTAGATCTTGAAGATATAACTTACTTATCTAGCCTTTTTTAATTACTCATTTTTAAATGATTTTCCTGACCCAAAAAAAACCCCACAAAAACAAAACTAAAATAACACTGTCATGTTAATAATATCCAAACTAGGTAACAATCCTGATAAATAAATAGTGTTAACCCAGATTATAGCCATATAGCCACAGCTGAATACTGGCTGAGGACATGGGTTTGTTAAACATCACCACAGCTACTCCAACGCTTTAGGCTTTGGGGGAAAATGCAACATGAGARCATTTCTTGGGAAATGGGCTCTTCCTGGCATCATCTCAGGTGCTACTGCATAGGGAGTGCTAAATGGGGCTGCTTCTGAAGGCCCTTGCACTCAAGGGGGGCATCACTCCCTTCTGCTTTGTGCCACGAGCCTTAATGCTTTTTTCTCCCCCCCGATAAAAGCAGAAGTCAGCACAGTCTCCACTTGCTTCCTTCTCATCCTTCCTTGATGTGCAGCTTAATTGTCTTTTAGTGTTAGCTCTGGTTCACTGATTGGAGCTAATTGCTAGTGGCCATTTCCTCGGGAGTATTTATTTCACCTTTTGGGCCTGTAAGGATTTATTTAGGGGCAATTGTCATCTGGTTGTATATGTAGAAACATGAGAACCACAGCTGTGGTATTTATGTATTGCACCCGCTAAGGTAGAGGGGACAAGGGTGCAGAATCCCATATCCTGCAAAGTGAGCCAGCTGCAAAGTCTTGCTTGGAGAAGCTGTCAGGAGTACCTGCAAGTGTCAATACCTTCTGTGCCTTCTACTGCACAGCGTGACGAGAGCAGCTTGATCTCTGCTCTCTGGTGTTCTCTTCTCTGCTCTGAATATTAATCGATTAGCAAATTGGGTCAAAATCTGTTGCAGGCCTCCATCGTCCAAAGCTGTAGTGAGGGTTTAAGGGACCATTTGTGGAGGATGAAAGTCCTTGATGCCGCTCCCAGCCCAAGGAGGCTGCGCTCCTGCTCCCTTGCAGCGCTGCGTTGTTGTGCTCGAGGAGGCAATGCTGCAGGGTAGCCTGGTGAGCACGTGGCTGTGGCCTCGCTGAGCAGAGACTCTTCCTGTTAAGAGAAGGTTGATTATTTTGTGCCTGCACGTACTTCGATGTGCAGCCCCAAAAAGYGTGTTCCAGCTGCTGAGCACCTGCCTGAGGCTGCTTGCTCCGCAGCCCAAGAACCTAGAGGAGCTGTATGCAAGCTGTGTAACCCTGGCAGCATTTCTTATAGGGCTGCCAATCGCTGTGTGGAATTTAAGATATAGTTSGATTGTGCTGTGTCCCCTGTTCCGTGACATGTGCACAAAGTGTACAGGCCTGCAAGGGCTGCCTAGTGCTTACTGCTTCTGGCCACTGGACGGCTCTGTGGCCAGTTTAAGACAGATGTGGGTGTTAAGTGGACCTTAGAGAGTTACAGTAACGAGAAATGAAACCTCCTACCTGAAAATGTGCCTGCTCGTCAGACATAACACTGAAAGCAGTTCAGTAATTGTGACTAACATACAGAGTCTGTGATYGAACAAGGAGGAAGAATATACCATTTGAAAACTACTTATGTTCAGCTTTTAGAAGACTATAGCCCATGCTTTGACCGCCTGTTAACCTGCTTGTGATTCTTGTGGATTCTCTAGGAGGGAAGCTGATCATTCTTCTGTGTTTGCATAATGTCTAGGGCTTCCAGCAATCCTGATCAAGCTGTACGGTAGTAAAATAACAGCTTTCTTGCTGCAAAGYTATGTGTCTGTTGTCTTTTTTTTCAACTCTGTGTCAAGTGGAAATTGTTCCTTGTTTCTTGGAATTTGAACTTGTCAGGAAAAAAACCCAGTAAAATAAGTTTTTAATGCTTTATATTATCAACTATATAACTTCTAATTTCCCCCTCTTTTTCTTTTGTCTCCTTAGAATGTGAAAGCATTTGCATCTTCAGATAGCCTAGCCAAGGTCCAAGAAGTAGCAAGCTGGCTTTTGGAAATGAATCAGGAACTGCTCTCTGTGGGCAGCAAGAGGCGACGAACCGGTGGGTCCCTTCGAGGTAATCCTTCCTCCAGCCAAGTGGATGAGGAGCAGATGAATCGAGTTGTAGAGGAGGAGGAGCAGCAGCAGAGACGACAACAAGAGGAGCAGCATCTTGGGCGGAATGGGGAGATAGGGGGAGAAGAACCTGGATTTGGTGACAGGCATGAATCCCAGCAGGAACAGTTGGAAGAAAATAACAATAGACTTATTACACTGGATGAAGAATCCACTTGTAATCAAGAGGAAGAAGATGATGATGAACACGCTGGTGATCAAGATGAGGAGGTGGAAGAGGAGGAGGAAATGGACCAGGAGAGCGATGACTTTGATCAGTCAGATGACAGCAGTAGAGAAGAAGAACACTCTAACAGTAATAGTGTCAGAAATTCCAATAGCCTCATGGACTTGCCCATGCACCAGTCATCGCCATTCTACATAAAGACAAAGGTGAGAAAATGCCTTTTTTTTTTTCTAAGAAGTTTAGAGAAATCTGCTTTTGGAATATAATATGAATATCTAACCTAAACCAGAGCTTTAGAGGGCTTTTTATTTCTTTGTTTTTACATATATCTTCATACAGTAACTCATACTGTTTGCAAGATCCTCTAGGGGCCACTTATGTCATTTTACTTCTCAAAAAAAGCATGAGGGAAGGTAAGTAATTGTGCATCTGTTGTCACCTGTGAGAAAATAAGTCTGGTTCTCAGTGTTCAGATGAACATGTTGTACTGAAAGATTAGGATGGAATATTACAAAAATCTCATATTTTCCCTTTTAGCCAGGTCCTAGGGAATTTGTTGAGGAAATGCAGRTTAAAAAAAGAGTAACAGACAGCTATTCAATTGCCAAGACACTATATCAATGTTATATGTATATAAAAGTCATTACATATTATATGTTATCATATCTGTAAGGAGCTTGAAAATTACATGTAATGATTGATGGGAATTTCCAATTTGAAAAAAGCTTTTGAAAATGAAATGTTTGGATTTAATGTTGCTACTGGCCTCACCGAACATTACAGAACAATAAAACGCTTTGGCAATATTAGCCCTGCACTTCAGTAGCAGTTCACGCAGTTTTCCATATTTCTCAGCTAGAAGAAATTCTGTCCTTCTCTGTAGCAGCAAGAACTGAAAGAACAGTGAAAGTGATGGTATGCCTTAATTAAAGGAAGGAGGAGATGAGTGGCTCTAGATATAAATCTTATTCCTAGGTCTATGTGCCAGCATTCTTTTCTTATAAAACTTTTGAAACTTTTCAACCCCTCACATCTCCCCGCCTTTAGTAAAACAAAGCATCAACAAAAAAGAAAAACAAAACCCAGAAGAAAGACTTTGCAATGTACTTTTCCAGAAAAAAATGATGTAAAACACAAAGCAAAAACTTGGAGAATCCATATGTTGACTGGCTTTCCTATGTGTTTGAGTTTAAATATATGTGTCTCAATAGGCATCAGTCTCAAAGATAGATTAGATAAAGGGGATGATCACTTGCTGCTTGAAGCTGCAGTAATATTTTAGGTAGTAGCAATTAGTCTTTAATTCTCCAGTGTGGCTAAAGGTTTTCTACTAACACTTTTGCTTTTGAAAATTCCTCACGCAATATTTTAGCATAGGTTTTTATAAAAATATAAATTCCTCATTGCTTATTGTTCATGATATGCTTTCTAGTTTGGAGTGAAATAGTATGATGCGGATAAATGTTGTGATTCATCTGGCTCTTTATAATTAAGATTTTAAGTTTTATTCGGATACTTTGTTTTCCCTAAGTACAGTGTAATTTGTGGCATGATGTGTAACCAACATCCAAACAGTTTGAATTTGATATTTCATGTGAGAAACTTTTGCCCTCAAATACATATAAAATTTTTGATTAGAGAGTGTGCAAATAACCATTCCCAAAGTATATGCAGGTAGAGCAAAACATGATTTTCAGTGGTGGTCAGATCTGATGCTCTTATTATATTCTCTGATACTGAATGCAATTTTTCTGTCATATTTGATGTAAATTATACTTGCAAATAGTGAAACCCGAACGAATATGTCATGAAGGTTTTATAGATAATTTCTGTCTGGTCTGATAGGTTTTTTTTGTATTTTGTTTCTATGCAAATAGTGGCCATTTTCATGTGTGCTCTGCCCCCAGGTGGTGGTCCTGCACGCACAGTTTGGGGAACAGGGCAGTGAACCCTGTCTGGGAACGGGTCTTGATTCTCTGTGCAGCCCTTAGAGTTTGTACTGAAGGGGAACAGTCGAGGTAGAAAGATGCTTGAGCTGGCACTGCTCTACGTCACAGTTATGCAGTAAGATAGATATAATGTGACACTAATTTTGCCAATTTCCAGGTAACCCTAAATTTAAAATTTGAAGAAATGTGTTTTGTGTTGAGAAATATTGTAGAAATACAGCTACATATTGTAGAAATACAACTATGACAAGCAAGTGGCACTTGCAGACTCATCAACTGTATTTACAAGTTATTTCTGGGTCTACCCAGAAATAACTTGTTGAAAATAGGTTCATCTCAGTATACTCAAAACCAATGGATTTGGTTTTTTACCTACCTCCTTGATGTACTTTGCACTCTGGAAATTATTTTGCACCACCAGTATCAGCTGAGGTGAATTCTGGGCCTGCTGCTCCTGTTTGCCTGTCAAACAGAAGTGGTTCCTCTGAAGCATCCACTGCTGATCCAGCTCCCTCACTCGTTTGATCTAGTTGTTTGCAGCAATATCAGCGATTTAGACTGTGTTTTCTTCCCTTCCAAGTACCAGGAGATAACAGTGAGACTGAATAAAACAGCAACTGCTCCTCTAATAGCATTGCGCAGCTCATATTATTTTTTTAATAACCATTGTTTCCCCTTCCACTTTTTATTCATTTCCTCTTAAGCTATTGCATATATAGTGCCTGTCCAACCTGACTCTGTGTGTGTGTCTGTGTGTGTGTGTGTCTGTGTGTGTGTGTGTCTGTGTGTGTGTGTGTCTGTGTGTGTTGGTTTGGTTGGATCCTGTGATGTTAAAAAGAAAAATAAAAGACTCATGTATAACATCATATTATCTAAGCTGAGTCTGCTGCCTGGACATCCTTTTGCCAGTGGCACGCTCGGTGTGTTCTTGCTGATGAATTGCATCAAAAATGTTAAGAAAACATATAATATGTAAACATTTGCCTAATATGATCCTGCTCCATGTAAGCAACTGAGATAATTGCTACCATAATGCTGTGGAAGTGTTATATGACTGAAGGACTTCAACACTTGTGGGAAGGCAGAAGGGCAGGAGCTTCGTTGTTCCATTACCCGCCACTGTGATAGTCCATTTCCTGCATAAAATGTGAGGGTGCTTTATACTGATTCCTATGCAAGCTAAAACATATTTCACACACGTAAAGAAGGAAACTCCAGCAAAGGTAAATCTGCCTCAATTATTGCTACATTGTTTCTGTTAATTGCCATCACTACTGAAAATTTTTCGCTTTTATTCTACTCTACATTTTTCTGTTTTGACAGTTATTTGTGCACTATAGGGCTTTTTAACAAGTGTTTGCAGCTTTCACGTGCATACAGTGAGCAAATTCACCCAAAAGGTCTCTTAAATGTAAATAATTAGGGCACTGCATGTCTGTCGGGCATATTTTCTATTTTTTTCTGTCCTCATCATGACACTTCCCTGAAAATGCTCTCTCTTTTTTGAACCTGTCCTGAATTATAGATGCCAACACTGAGATTAAAACTAAAGTAGCAATTACACTGCTGCTAAAAAATATTTATTCATACTATATATTTACCTGCCTCTATAACAAACGATCACGTTAACGCTTTTGGCTGCAGCATTCACTGGGATCTCATGTTCGACTGCTTTGTCCAACATGATGCAAGCCTTTTTCAGAGAGCCTTCTGTTCTGTAAGTATGGCCTGCGTTCTCTTTCTAGAAATATAGACATTTGGTTGCATTCAAGTGAATAGTATTCCCTTGTGTCCAATGTACCTTGGGTGGTGCTTACCAGTGAGCTGTCCTGTTGGCTCATTTTCCCTCCCTGCAATTTGAGTACTGTGCAAATGTTTTGCTATGTCTGTTGTGTAAAAATATTAAATAATGTGTGAGGGCAGAGTAAATAATAGGTGCAAGACCATTTTAGGAAAGTGAGTTGACGGCCATTCTCCACTCGCTGTGTTGTATTGTGGGATCCGTTTTGAGTGGTCTGTGTTGACTTTGTATCATTCCAGTTCCCCAGGGATGGTCATGTAACAATCAAGCCAACATAGGCAAACTTGCATTTAGAATGCATTATATATTTAATTGCAGCTCCTCTTATAAATGCTTTTATCCCACTAAATGAGGGATTCTGTAGCACTGCGGAGACTAGAATGTATTGTGGTCACCATCACTGGCAAACGGCTTACGTAAATCAACATCCTTGCTTATTTTAGGTTGAAGTTGTTTGTATATCTGTGTTCATACTTCCAAAATGGTCATGTAGTTAACAACTGTATTATGGCAGAGGTATTATCTTTATCAAAATTCATGTTTGAGAGAGGTGATGATCTTTTATGGAGGGAAAAAAAAAGGTACCAACTGTACTATAAACTCTATTAGTTCTATGCCATGTCAACTTTTGTATTATTGCCTCCTGGGCCAGTGCCTGGCTTTCAGCTAAGGTTTTGCTCTGTTTCCTTTGTATTTTTTTCAGAATACCATTAGGCTTCCTGGAGACTTCTGGAATACTTTGGTTGCCCTAGTTCTTGAAGATAATCACACTATATACCATTGCTAACTTGTTTCCATTTCTCTTCCTACTTTTTTTTTGGTTCTTTTATCTAACAATATATTAAAACAAAACAAACAAACAAACAAACCCAAAATAGAGCTAGGTGCTACAGACTGATTGTCATCTTCTACTTATATCTTTTTCTTTTTTAATTGCAGTTTTCAGTTTCTATCAGAAAAAGTTGTTTATGTGATAACTGCTTTGAGTTTGTCTTATTTGGGGAGTGTTGCTTTCTTAAATAAATAAATAAATAAAAATTCCAGACCAGTTGTTTCAATTCAGAGGTTGATTCAGCTTTGGTTTGGATTTGCCATATACTAAAGGAGCAGGGCATGCTCACTCATGTCCGAGCTCCTGTGTATTTTTGCCTTTCTTCTGTTAACCTATATCTTAAATTCCACATTACATAATAGAAATGTTTCTCATGTTGAGGCCACCTTAGCTAAGAAACAATCACTTAAAAAATAGCAACATCAATTTCTGTGAGGTTATCTATATTCCAGCAAGTGCTGTCACAAATACCTGCCTGGTGGTTTGGGCAACAGGCACCTCAGAGCAGGCCCTCATACTTGAACATACTTCCTTTTCTTCTCTTGAGGCTCTCTGACACTTAGCAGATGAGTGCAGATGAATGTGAGCATGTTACTTTCTGCCTTCTAACTGTTTGGGTTGTGC